TTGTATAGAGAACAGAGTTATTATGGTAAAAAATGGTCCGTAAGATAAAGTATTTTTCTTAATGAAAATTTATTTAATTTTTTATTAAAATAATCTCCACTTCAGTGATCTATCCAACGTGAACATGAAATATGTGAATGTTCGTCAGGCCTTGGCCAATTTGGCCCATTTTATATGCACCATAAAAGCCACCATAACGGGCATGGAAAATTGTAAAGTCATATTAAGTGGTGGATCATATTCGGCTACCATGGTGACCATTCAAGTACCTGAAAGATCGTTGAACTGTTCTTTATCTCTCAAGCCAAGTTTTTAATATTTATAAATATTTTGGAAATTCCTCTAAATTTCTCCCATTTTAATAAGTTGCTAATTTTATGCTAAAAATCACAAATTGTGCTCTAGTTATTTATAAATTAAGAAACAAAATAATAAAATCACCAAATTTGTTTCTAACAAAAATAACGTGTTTTGAATTTAAAATATAGAAAAAACCTCAAAAATTTCTTTAGAAAATTTTAATCTTAAATATTGAAACATTTCTAAACTATTTATTTAAAAAAAAGTAAATATATTGGTAAATATTTTATAAATTAAGTTTAACAAGCAATTAAATAGGTGCGAAACTTATAACAAGTATTCTATAATAGATAATTAAACTAATAGTAAAAGTTTAAGTAGTTTATTTAACACATATCTATGGAGGTTTAGGTCAAATAACTGCATGAAATACTATAACTATTAAAAAGCCAGCAGAGACGCACTAACCAAAAGGGGTTAACTGTAACTGAGTATAAAAGATAACATAAAATTTAATAAAACCCTTGGGGTGCTATAAAATTGACTTCTACGCCTCTTTTTTTAGTTAGATAAAGTTTTTCACTATTTCTTTTACAATAAAGCTGTCATATATAAAGCCTTTACAATTTCCTTACATTAACCACTAAATCAAATTGTAGTTTTGTGCAAAGTGTCTAAAAATGTTTAAATTTATTTTAGTTAAATTAGTGGTTCCAATTTTACTGTTTGGGTCTTTAAACGTTATTCGCGCTGATCATGTTTTCTTGAGAGCTTTTAGAAATTTGCACAAGGATCCTGGCCCACGAGGTTCTACTCGAGCTCATGTTGAAACAAAATGGATAGAACAAAAATTGGATCATTTTAATGAGAATGATAATAGAACGTGGCAAATGGTAAAAATTAATTAAAAAGAATGTGTGATTCGAAGGACCATTTTGATACAAAGTTTTTTGATTTTTTATAACAAAATTTTAAGTTTTAAACCAAAATCTTATAAAAAATAAATCGCGATATCATGTTTCGAAGGTCCATGTTTCTTAGAATGCAATTAAAGTGAAAATTTAAAGAAAAACTTAAAAAATCTGATTCGAAGGACCATTTAATATACTAAAAAGTTAATTAAAAGAATATTTAAAACTTAAATTTTTAAACAAAAAATTTTCCATATTTAAACTAATTAGTTAAAGAAAACTATGTTCAATACTTATCACGGTTCGAAGGATCCTTTGTTTCAAATGATATTAATGTGAAATTTAACAATTTTTAAACTATGAGCAAAAGTACTATGACCCGAAGAAAATTTCCCAATTAAAAAAAGAAAACAATTAATAAAAGTTAAAAAAAATAATCAATTATTAAATGTCTAAAGTATCATCATGGTTCGAAGGACCATTTTTCTTGATAGTTTTGAATGGAATAAGTTCAACAAATAAATATTTTGATAAACATTAGGAAACAAACAAAAAAATCAATTAAAATAAATTAATTGGTTAAAATTAACTGAATCATAGCTCGAAGGACCATGTTTTCAAAATGCAATTGAAATGAAATTTAAAGTCTTTAAATAAAAATCTAACAGATTTAAGGTTATAATAAGGCTTAAGGGAAAAAACAATAAAACAAAACTCAATAGAGTATAAAATCAAGGTTCGAAGGACCATTTTTCTTAAAGCTTTATTGGACAGCTATTTAAGGAAATACGGCTGATTTTGGTTTTTTCGCATAATAATCGAATTTTTACGGAAAATTCAATGACAGAATTTCTTTAACGTGTATTTAAGGAATTGTGGTTCGAAGGACCAAATGTAATTAAATTGAAATTTAAACACTTTTATGTCTTTAAAAATAAATCAGGAAAAATAGGAAAAATAATTCACGTAAATAAAAAACCTTGATAGCAAAACCTTGTAATGAGACTCAGCAAAGTTTAAAATCAAGGTCCAAAGGACCATTTTTCTTAAATCTTTATTGTAAATCTTATTTATATGCTATTTAAGGAAATACTGCCGATTTTGGATTTTTCGTATAATATTCGGAAAATTTAATGACAGAATTTCTTTAATTTCTGAATGGAACATTTATTTCAGAAATTATGGTCCGAAGGACCAACCGTAATTAAATTGAAATTTAAACATTTTTATGTCTTTCAATATAAATCAGGAAAATTCAAGTAAATAAGAACCCTTAATGGCAAAAGTTTATATTAAAAATCAGCAAAGTTTTAAATCATGGTTCGCAAGACCCCTTTCCTTAAAACAGTTCTAAATTTTCGAGATTTTAATGAAAATAACCAATAAATAACATAATTTTAGCGTTATATGGCCAATGATGAATTCTATCAAGAAGGTGGCCCCTTATTTATACACGTGGGAGGAGAATGGACTATATCACCGGGGTCTATTAGTAGTGGTCATATGTATGATATGGCTAAGGAAAATAATGCCTATTTATTCTACACAGAACATCGTTACTATGGTAAAAGTAGACCTGTAAGGTAAAGTACTTTTTTAAATGAAAATCTATTCGATTTTCTGTTAAAATAATTTCTGTTGCAGCGATCTTTCCAATGAGAACATGAAATATCTGCATGTTCGCCAGGCCTTGGCCGATTTGGCTCATTTTATACGCACCATGAAAGCCACCATACCGGGCATGGAAAATTCTAAAGTCATATTAAGTGGTGGCTCATATTCGGCTACCATGGTGACCTGGTTTAAGAAATTATATCCTGATTTAGCTACCGGATGTTGGGCCTCATCGGCACCTTTATTTGCTAAAGTAGATTTTGTGGGTGAGTATATTAAAATCAAACTTCTTCTACATGATTTAGTTCAAGTTCATGTCTAATTACAGAATATAAAGAAGTTACTGGTGAATCTATACGTTTAGTGGGCGGTGATTCCTGTTACAATCGCATTTTAAATGGTATACAACAGTTGGAGAAAATGTTAAACGAAAATAGATCGGCGGATTTGCGGAGTTCCTTAAATATTTGTGATAGCTTCGATGATAACAATGAATTAGATGTTTGGGTGTTATTTTCCACCATTTCGGATATATTTGCGGGTATTGTGCAAAATCATCAGTAAGTCCAAAGAAAAATTCATTTTAAATTCCATATAAAAATTATGTTTTGATTCTTAATTAGTGGCAATACCATACAAAATGCCTGCAATAAAATCATGGAGGGTGAAGATGACTTAAAAGGTTTTACCAATTTTATGTTGCGTTATTTTGATAATAAAAATTGTACCGATATTACCTATAAAACCTCGGTGGAAGATATTAAAGATACCAAATTTGGCAATGGCATGAGTAAGTAAAGAAAATTTTAAATATTATTTTATATAATAGAGGAAGAAGGAATTAAATTAAACTCTATTTAGTACGTCAATGGTTCTATCAGACCTGCAACGAATATGGTTGGTATCAGACCTCGGGGTCTAAGCAACAGCCTTTTGGCACCAAATTCCCCGCTAAATTATATACCACTTTGTGTCAAGATGCTTATGGCGAGGAATTTACGGAGGAATATATCGAAAATCAAGTTAAGAAAACTAATGAATTTTTTGGAGGTCTACAACCTGAAGTTGAAAATGTCTATATGACTCATGGCCAATTGGATCCTTGGCGGGCAATGGGTATACAGGAAGAGGGCAAAGCTACCATTATACCAAGTAAGTTGAGCGATTTTAAAAGTATTCTTATAGATTACTGATTATATATTTTTTGTAGTGCGTGCTCATTGTAAAGATTTTGGTTCCATAACGGATAAGGACAATGAAGAACTGAAAGCTTCGAAATTGAAACTTATGGAATTAGTAAAGGAGTGGTTAAAGGAGTTGAGGAATTAAAAACAAATATGTAATTTAAAAAGTTTTCATAAAATAAAATATTAAGCAAAAACCAGATTTAATTTTTTTAAAGAAAATTGAAGTGATCGCAGATTTTTGCTATTTTCTCAATTGGTGTATTTTTTTAAGGATTCTTACAGCCGATTTTAGGTTCTCCATGTCAAAAACGCTTTTTGGTGGAAAATAAAAGTGATCACAAGTTTTCACTATTTCCTCAACTGGAGAGTTATTAAATGATCTTCATGCGATTTTGAATATATCATATAAAAAACGATTTTTAATGGAAAATATGAGTAATCACATATTTTTTCTATTTTCTCAATCGGATCGTTATTTAGGGATCTATTCCGACTTTAGATGTCTCATATAAAAATCCACTATTTTCTCAATTTATTTAATGATTTTCACCCGATTTTAAGTTATCGATTGATTTTTATTGAAAAATATGAGTGATCAAAGGTGTTTGCCTTTTCTCAATTGAAGAGATCAACAGTGAATTTCAGGGGTTTCCATATAAAGAAATCTCTTTTTCGTTAAAGGTAAAGGTGATCGCAGAATTTCGCTATTATTTAAGCATCTTAAGTCGATTCTGGGGATTTCCTATAATAATCGATATTTGAAGGGAAGTATAACACATTTTAGTTTTTGTTTTGGTCACTTGTTCTTTTGCTCGGTTAGATAATTCTCGATTACCACTAATTGTTTAGATTAGATTGATATTTTTTTAACACATGTATACAAACTGCTATCTTTGGATTTATTATGTACATAGTTAAGTAATTTTATCAATTAAATTATTTATAAGAAATATAGAACGATTGAACTTTTGAAGAATTTATGCAAGCACTTAAAATTTCAGTCTTCAGGAGGATTTCATTGAAGACAGATCGAAATGGCTAAATTTGTCCTAATTGTAACAGCTCTATTGGCTGTATTAGCTTTTGCTAAAGCCACTGAAGAGGAGGAAGTACCAGCATTTGTTAAAATTTTCAATGAATTACACAAGGATCCAGCGCCACAACAAGGGTCTACGAGAGCTAATGTTAAAACTTTATGGATTGAACAGAAATTGGATCATTTTGATTCCAATGAAACTAGGACTTGGCAAATGGTTAGTTTAAAAATAATATATATATTTTTTTTGAAACTCGTTAATAACTTTCTTATTTCCAGCGTTATATGTCCAACGATGAGTTCTTCAAACCCGGTGGTCCCATATTTATCTATGTGGGCGGTGAATGGTTTATTTCCCCCGGTTTCATAACAGGTGGTCATGTTTACGATATGGCTAAGGAACATAATGGTTATTTGTTTTATACCGAACATCGTTTCTATGGCGAAAGTAAACCCACTGAACATATGACCAATGAAAACTTGCAATATTTAAGTGTTCAACAAGCTTTAGCCGATTTGGCTCATTTTATACGCACCATGAAGGCCACCATACCGGGTTTGGAAAATTCAAAGACTATTTTGACTGGAGGTTCATATTCGGCGACTATGGTGACTTGGTTTAAGAAATTATATCCCGATTTGGCCGCTGGTTGTTGGGCCTCTAGTCCTCCTTTGTATGCTAGAATTGATTATTACGGTGAGTTTTTAAAGGAGTTTTTTGTTTAACGTAAGACGTTGTGTCTAAAAAGACGTAGTCTTTTAGAAGAAGTAATCTTTAAGAAAACGTAGTCTTTAAGAAGACATAAACATTAGGAATACGTAATCTCTATGGAGACGTAGTAGATGTATTTTTTTAACAGACGTAGTCTTAAAGAAAACGTTGTCTTTAAGAAGATGTAGTTTCTTAAGTAGATGTGGTCTTTAAGAAGACGTAGTTAAGACTACGAAAACATAATTTTTATTACTATGCAGTTTTTAATAAGACGTAGTATTTAATATAACGTAGTTTTTAATAAAACGTAGTCCATAAAAGGACATAAGCCATAAAAGGATGTAGTCCATAATAGGACATAGTCCTTCATAGGACGTAGTCTTTTATAGGACGTAGTCCTTAATAGGACGTAGTCCTTAATAGGACGTAGCTAAAAGTAAGACGCAATCATTCACAGGACGTAGTCCTTAATAGTCGTTAATAAGACGTAGCCAATAGTAGTATGTAGTCCATGTTAGGACATAGTTCAAAATAGGACGCAGTCCTTAAAAGGGCTTTAAAAAGACACAGTTACTATTTAGACGTTAACTTTAGTAAAATGTAGTTTTCTCTAAAACTAATTCTTTAGGAAGTCTCAGACATTAAAAAGACATGGAGTGTATGGAATCTTCTAAAGGATGTAGTATCCAATACGTAGATTTCGATTAGTCGAAGTCTTAAGAAAGACGTAGCATTTATTAATACAAAGTCTTTAATGCTCTTTCTTGCTCTCTCCCTCATCCAGAATACAAAGAAATCATGGGTCAATCTATTAAACTAGTAAGTGGTGATACTTGTCACGATCGCATCAAACGTGGTTTTGATGAATTAGAATCGATGTTTGCCAACAAACGTGGAGCTGAAGTCAAAGCTATGTTGAAATTGTGCAATTCATTCAACGAAAATAATGATTTGGATGTATGGACATTGTTCTATGAAATTTCTGAATTATTTGCCAATTTGATACAAGCTCACAAGTAAGTCCATACGAAAACTATATATAAATAAAAATGAATCTACATTTAATCCTAAAACAGTGATGGCGATATCCAAAGTGCCTGCAGACGTATAATGGACGGTTCCAGTGATGTTGTGGGTTTGGCTAATTATATTGTATATAAATTTAATGCCAGAACCTGTACCGATATGTCATATCGTGGTTATTTGAATATGTTTAAGGATTCTGCCTATAGCACCAATATTAGTAAGTTGAATTTGAAGCTAATTTAAAGATTTATTTTAATAAATTTTTGTTTTTACTAGTGCGTCCTTGGATTTATCAGACCTGCAATGAAGTGGGTTGGTATCAGACCTCTACCTCACGCAATCAACCTTTCGGTACTAAATATCCTTTGGTATTCTTTACTACTCTCTGTGGTGATGCTTATGGTGAAAAGTTTACCAAGGAATATATTGAAAAACGTTTGATAGAAACCAATAAAATCTTTGGTGGTCTTAATCCGGAAGTAGAAAATGTTTATATGACTCATGGCCAATTGGATCCTTGGAGATCGGCTGGTTTAGAAGATCCTGAAAAAGTTACCATAATACCTTGTAAGTGGATGATTATGCCTGATACCTTTTAGTTGTTATTATTAATAATCCCTTTTCATTACAGACCACGCCCACTGCAAAGATTTGGGTTCGATTAGCGATCGGGATACCCCTGAACTTAGAGCTTCTAAGGAGAAGGTAGCTGCCTTGGTTAGACAGTGGTTGGCTTAATTGCACGCGCCTGTTTTAATTTTAGCATGAATTTATTATTTTCTTTTTAATTTTTCCGATTTGTACAGTATTTATTATTTTATTGTAACAATAAATTCATTTAATATTTTTTTAAGATTATAAATATGGTTCTCTGTTATCAGAATTTTGAAATTGAAAATTTTGTATTTAGAGATAAAGTTGCAAATAATTATTATCGTTTATTTGCTATCGCATCGTTTTTAGTTAGAATATTTTTGCTATAAATCAAAGTTAATGCAATCGTTTTGTAATGTGGTAATCAATTTTGTGAATGAAATAACCGGATGATAGATTAAAATGGGGCAAATAGAACCACACGTTTGAAGTTTCATATAGAATAGTATGACGTAGTCTTCATTAAGACGTAATATTTAGTAAGACGTCATCTTTAAGAAGACATAACGTTTAATAAGAGACAATAAGACGTAATATTCAGTAAAACGTAGTTTTTAACAAGACGTAGTGCGTTGGAAGACATAGTCTTTGATAATACGTAATCTTTAGTACTACGAAGACTTCAGTAAAACGAAGTCTTTAATATGACGTAGTGTTTAGTAAGAAGTAGTCTTAAGTAAGACGTTAGACGTAGCCTTTAGTAAGACGTTAGACATGGTCTTTAGTTAAAAGTAGTCCTTAGATAGACGTAGTCTTAAGTAAGACGTAGTAAAACAAAGTCTTTAATAAGATTAAGTATTTAGTATGACGTAATGTTTTGTAAGATGTAGTCTTCAGTAAGACGTAGTCTTTAATAAGATGTTGTCTTAAGTTAGACGTAGTCTTCAGTAGGACCTAATCTTTAGTAACACGAAGTCTTTAATAAGATGTAATCTTTAATAAAACGCAGTCTTTAGTAAGAAGTAGTCTATAGTAGGATTTTGTCTTTGGTAAAATGTTGTCTTTAGTAAAACGTATTCTTAAGCAAGAAGTAGTATTTAGAGATTAAAGTAAGACGAAGTCTTTAGTAAGACGTAGTCTATAAGACAAAATCCTCAGTAAGAAGTAGTGTTTGGCAGGACGTAGTTATTAGTAAGATATAGTCTTTAGTAAGACGTATACTTCAGTTAGATGGAATCTATAGTAGGACGAAGACTTTGGTAGGACGTATTCTTAAGTACGACGTAGTCTTTGTGAAGATGTTGTCTTTAGTAATACGTAGTCTTTAGCAAGACGTAGTTACTTTAGCGAGACGAAGTCTTTAGCAAGACGTAGTCATTATTAAGACGTTGACTTCCTTAAGACAAAGTCTTTAGCAAGTTGTTGTCTTTAGTAAGACGCAGACTTCAGCAAGACGTAATCATTGATAAAACGTAGTCATTATTAAGTCGTTGTTCATTTCATTGCCGCAAAGTTTTTAATAAGACGAATTCTTTAGTACAACGAAGTCTTTGGTTAGATAAAGTTTTTAATAAGACGTAGTCTTTGGGAAGCTGTTCTCTTTAGTAAGACGTAGTGTTTAGCAAGCGTAGTGTAGCCTCCGGTAAGTTAGTGTTCTAGTCTGGTAGACCGGAGGTGGTGGGTTCGATTCCCACCGAAGGCACTGGTTAAGGAGCGCATAAAAGGCCCGATGGAGGCCTAGTTGTATTCCTACAGATGTGAAGTATATACATCCTCTTTTCAAACTAACTAACTAGCAAGACGTAGTCATTATTAAGACGTAGTTACTTTAGCAAGACATAATCATTATTAAGACGTAGACTTTAGTATAGTAGTGAGATGTTGCCTTTTAGTAAACGGTAGTCTTTAGCAAAACGTAATCATTAATAAAACGTAGTCATTATTAAGACGACGTTGTTTTTTCCATTATTTTGGATATTATCAAATGTAAACAAAAAATTTTTCTTCAACAACAGCAATTCAATACGTCAAATTTCAAATCTTAAGATTTTACCAATTGATTACTTTCAACAACTTAATATATATGTTTTTTGCTTTAAATCGAAAATATAAATAGCAAAATACCAATAGATAAGAAATAAATTGATTACCACAGATAAACTATGGTGAACATTTTATCATAGTATTAATCATAAATTAACTTTACGCTCGCAAATCTTATCAAAATTCAAATTTATGACACTTGGCCTTTAAAATTATAAAACGCTACCCATTCCCATTGACCAATGCATTTACAAAAATGAAATTCGCGCTAACGGTTGTGGCTATTTTAGCCCTATTAGCCTTGGCTAAGGCTCAAGAGGATGATGTTAAGAAAATACCCGGGTTTGTGGAATCGTTAAAGAAATTACAACGAGGTCCTCCCGAAGTAGTGTCACACAACCGTGCGGCTGTGGAAACTAAATGGATTGAACAGAAATTGGATCATTTTGATGAGAGTAGTGAAGAGACTTGGCAAATGGTGGGTTTTTAAGGAAAATTTAATCAAATTATGGAGTTTTTTATCGCTTTGCTGTTGAAAATTTTTAGCGTTATATGGTAAATGAAGAACATTTTGAAGATGGCGGTCCTATATTTATTTATTTGGGCGGTGAATGGGAAATTTCTCCCGGTAATATTCAATATGGTATTATCCCCGATATAGCTAAGGAACATAAGGGTATTTTATTCTATACTGAGCATCGTTACTATGGTAAAAGTAGACCTACCAGGTGAGATTTATATTGAATTGAAAATAATACAAGTGATCTAAAGCTTTAACTTTCTTTCCTTCATTTCAGCAATATTTTAGTGGAAAACCTTCAATATTTGCATGTCAAACAGGCTTTAGCCGATTTGGCCCATTTCATACGCACCCAACGCGAAACCGATCCTCGTTTGGCCAACTCTAAAGTTATCATTTCCGGTGCTTCTTACTCTGCCACAATGGTCGTATGGTTTAGCAAACTCTATCCCGAATTGGTTAATGGTGGTTTTGCCTCATCGGCTCCTCTTTTCGCTAAAGTTGATTTCAAAGAATACAAAGAAGTGGTAGGCAAAGCATTACTCGAATTAGGTTCCCAGCAATGTTATGATCGTGTTCAAAAGGGTGTAGCTGAACTAGAGGGCATGTTTGCCGGTAATCGTTCGGCGGAAGCTAAAGCTATGTTGAAATTGTGTAATTCTTTTGATCATAATAATGATTTGGATTTGTGGTCTTTATTTAGCACCATTTCCAATTTATTCTCCGGTATTATACAATATCAACAGTAAGTTTTAAGGATTTTAGGTTGTAGTTCTAAAGGAAAATAATGGTGTGTGTATTTTTTCTAAAGGGAAGGTGATGTGCCTTATGTCTGCAGTTATTTAATGAGTTTTGAGGATGATTTGACTGCCATAACAACATTCTTTTTGGATCAGTTGCGTGTAACCAGTGGCTGTGTTGATGTTAGTTACAAGGGTACTTTGAGCTATTATATGGATTCGACTTATGTCTATGGTGCTTGTAAGTATTTATCTCGAAAATTTTCTTTAAAATTTTAAATATAATTATCTTTTAGCTCGCCCCTGGTACTTCCAAACCTGCAATGAATATGGTTGGTATCAAAGTTCTGCCTCTAAGAATCAACCTTTTGGCAGTAAATTCCCTGCTTTGTTGTATACCATTATGTGCCATGATGTCTTTGGTTCCAAGTATACCAATGAAAACATTCATAAGTTGGTAGATGAAACTAATGCCTTCTTTGGTGGCATGAATCCTAATGTAAAGAATGTCTATCAAACTCATGGTGCCTTAGATCCCTGGAGTACCATGGGTCATGGTGTTGCCGAGGGTGCCTCGGTTATACCTCGCGCTTCACATTGTGCCGATTTTGGTTCTATTAGCTCATATGATAGTCCCGAAATGCGTGCCTCTAAGGAACGTTTAGTCGAATTAGTACGTGAATGGTTGGCTTAATTTCAAATAATAAATAAATATTTATTGTTAAGTTTTAATAATAAAATTAATTTTCTAAAATCGTGTTTCTATTTGTTTTCATTATTAAGGTCATTTTCTTGTTAACGTAAAAATAAAACTAGTAATACCAAAATTCCAAATGATAAGAAAAACTAGATTATTATAGTTATTAAATTCAGGCGAAAAATTGTGTTATATCAATGTATATAAAACATTATAAATTAAACAATATGGAATTAATCTTATCTCTATGAACTAAACAATTTTCGGATAATCTATTCTGGGCCTAAGCAATAAACTTTCCAAAAAATTATAAAATACTTTTAGCTGACCATTATTAGTCTCATTTAACAAAATGAAATTCATCTTAACGGTTGTGACCGTTTTAGCCCTCTTGGCTTTAGCTAAGACTCAGGAAGAGCAGGTGGGTCTTGAAGAGGTACCAGCCTTTGTGAAGTCTTTGGAAAAATTACAAAGAGGTCCTCCCGAAATTGAGGTACACAGCCGGGCAGCTGTTAAAACTAAATGGATTACACAAAAGTTGGATCATTTTGATGAGGAAAATGAAGAGACCTGGCAAATGGTAAGAAAAATTTAACAAAAAGAAAATATTTTTCAATATTCAAAATGTTCTTCTGATTTTAGCGTTATATGGAAAATGATCAATATTTTGAATCGGGTGGCCCTATGTTTATTTATTTGGGTGGTGAATGGGCCATTTCTCCCGGTCGCATACGTGAAGGTATTATACCCGATATGGCCAAGGAACACAAGGGTATGTTATTCTATACTGAGCATCGTTATTATGGCCAAAGTAAACCAACCAAGTAAGTTTTAAAAAATAACGTAAATGGAAAAAATCATCAAATTAAAAAAAAAAGGATCAAAATTTTGGAACAAATTTTAAAAAAGAACAAAAATAATAGTGCCACATATATTCGTTTTTAAAAAAGTTTAAAATTTTCGTTTATAAAAAATTCTATATTTAAAATAAGCAAGTGAAAGAAGACAAACATTTTGACATAAATTTTGAAATTAACTTCGAATTTTCGAGTGAAAATTTTGAAAAAAAAAAAATAAATTTTAAATTTTTCTTGAATTTTTTTTCAGTTCGAATTTTAAAATTTCAGCTAAAAATTCAAAAATATTTTAGATTTATAGCAGATTTGTAATCAGTTTGCCAAACTTAGTATTTTGACACATTTTTCGAATTTTCGAAATTAAATTCAAATTTTCGAAATTAACTTCAAATTTTCGAAAATTGTCT